GTTTAAGATCAAAAGGGCAGCATTTACCCAAGGACAAAGTTCAGAGGGTTAGGAAAGAGGAGAAATGGAAACAGAAAACAAAGGTAGGAAGTGAGGTAAGGTCAGAGAAAATACATTTGAGGAAATTGCAGTGGATGAGTTGAAACAAAATGTGTATAGATTGTTGAATATAAAACTTAGGATCTGTGCTGTAGAGCTTCACCTGAGTCACAATAAAAAGGGGGGAAGCTGATGTCTACTTTTTTTAAAGCCTGTAATAGGACCATCATCAAAAGAAAACATGAAAAAATGCATGTAGAAGGGTAGTGAGATTATGACCAAAATAAGCATTAAAAAGGGGGAAAAAGAGGTGTCACCTAGTCCCAACCCAAGCTTCGATACTCCGCTTTCTGGTCCGAATCTGGAACACTACCAACTGTTTCTGTGATTGGCTTGCCACAGAGGGTGCTAGAGGGAGGCTGCAAAACTGGGGGACATAGTTCCACATCATCAACTGCTCCTCAAGAGAATGTCTGGCCTTTCTACTCCTGTAAAGAGCTATTGTCTCAGAAATTCACAGGGGCAGTTCTACCCTGTCCTATAGAGTTTCTATGAGTCATCATCGAATTGATGGCAGTGAGTTTTGTTTTTTATTTGTTTGTTTGAACGTCATCCCAGCAACAGTTCTTCCCCCTAACAGTGGCAGTTCCTTTCTATAGCAGCATTTTCTGCACAATCACCAATCCCTCTTCCCAGACACCGGGCCAGCCAGAGACACCACGAGGTTGTCCTCCAGGTTCCCAGACACCAGAGGAGCAGAACCCCTTCCCTGGAAATTTGGGGTCTGGCAACTCAGCGTTCTACTTCTCCCTTTCTAAGGTTGCATTGCCCCAACCTCTTCCCTTTGGTCCCCCAGCCTTAGCGGTGAGAATCGCTTCCTGCTGTTGTCACAGTGCCATAGTTCACTTTTGACCCTTTCAGTGACCGACCAACCAACGTATACCTAGTTAGCAGTTCTTCGTCTGAAAGCATCTTTGTTAAATAACTGGTGTGCTTCCTGGCTCCTGCCTGCACCCTGACTGAGCCAGCAAGTAACGAGAAGGAGTAGGGGATATGGTTGCAAATGTAGATGCTCACAGGTCTTTTAACGTTGATGTGGACTTCATTCTTTAGGCTGCAGAGGACTTAAGAGCCTAGACTTTGTTCTCTAGGCTAAGCAGAGAACTACTGTGGTCAAATAAGCATTCTTGTGAGATCATTCTGGAAGCTGACGGCCCTCATAGAAGAGACAGGTCCAGAGAAGAGAAGAACATGAATCGGGGGAAAATATCATTTTCTTTACATCGAGGTGTAATCCATGCTGAAGGGCGGTAGTCGTGGCTCTTCACCAGCAAGTGGCTCAAGTCCTCTGCGTTTCCAGCACGCAAAGTTGTATCATCCGCACAGAGTCCAACTTCTTGAATAATGTACTCAGCGTACTGATCGAAAAAATATGGTGAAATGCATCCACTCTTTTAGACATCTTTCTTGATTTTAAACCATAAATTGTCCCCTTGTTCTATTTGTATAGCTGTTTCTAGTCTATGCACGGTTCCACAAGAGCGCAGTTAAGTGTAATGTTATCCATAGATAAAACATGTTTTGATCCACACAGTTGAGCATCTTTGCATAGTTAATAAAACACAGGACAACATCTGTGGTAGTCTCTGCCTTCAGCCAAGGTCCTTCTGACACCAGCAATGATAGCCTTTGTTCCATCACCTCTTTTCAATCCAGCCTGAATTTCTGGCAGTTCTTGTCAATCTATTGACAAATACAACAGGCGCATTGGCACAATTGTATGGCTAGAATATATAAAGATGAAAGTAAAGTCATAGAGAATAAGAGAAATAAGAGAGAGGGTAAAATA